CCCCACACACACACCCATCGGCGACTATTTCAAAATTCATATCTCTGACAGAAATTACAGTATCTATTTCCACGCCAGAAGGTACTTTGCAGTTCTGGGAAATAGGTATATATTATCTCTGTAATATTGAAATCAACCATGTATCCAATTTGGTAGATTATTTTATTATAACTAGATTATAGTAGTTGTCTCACATTAAACATAAATATAAATAGATATTTTAACTTCTACCTGACCTCGTAGACAACAAACTTCAACAGCAATTATCTGCTATTACCGATTTAAAATTATATCCAATTGAAATGTTGAAAAGAAAACATACGGGAAAAAAATCCAACTTTAAATTTCCCGCACATAGACAGAAATGAAACTTTTAAAGAAAGTAGGTTATCAATAAAGGTAAAGGTCGAATGGTCACGTGATCAAACTATCATGGCGGAGCGAGGAACATTAAATTTCGCAAATAAGCTTTAGATTGCTACGAAATGTCAAGCAGACGACCTAAAAGGCCTTCTTCGGCTCGAAGAAACATAAAGCAGGAAACATTTTCATCATTTGTCAGGTAAGTATCCATTTGATGCACAGCGCTGCTCAGCATTAACGCTTGAAGTGCGGTTGCCCACCACGCTAAGAATAGGCGCCAGCGTTTAAAATTACCTTGTATTTGCTAACAATTTTATACGATATTTTCTGAGGTTATGTAGCAATACAACTTGCACCCACGGGTGATATGAGATTCGTATTTGGCTTAGTTTTAGAACTGCTCTTAATTTACACCAGATGAACGTGTTATAACAGTTTTGTGTCGTGTGACACACGAGAACAAACACAGCTCGGCAATGTTTTGGATTTGAAAATATAGCAAAGATTTCAAAGATATACAACCCATGATATGTCCTTGAGTCAATGTTTATACCATGGTTAATTTCACCATCATGCTTATGTTGAAACTGAGCATCATGATATTCCAAGAAAACCATAAGTTGGGTTTGTTATTCATCTTTGACTTGGGTTAAAATAAAGTGCAAAATGTCAATAAACGATGCAAACTAAAAGATATGATAAACAAATGACACAAACAAAACAAAGCAATTTTGGCAAATCCATTGAATCTCTTTTATACAGAACTTTAGATAAAAATAAAGCTCAAGAGAGAGATCAGCATCCAATTGGAACTGGTAAGCAGACCTGTATCTGCAAATCCATTATCAAATGAGAACTCCTTTCTTCACAGACAATTAATTTTTGTCTAAAACTCTGAACAAAATCATTTTAGAAGTTTAGGGTTAGCATATTTAATATATATATTTGAATATTATTCTCTTTAGTGAGTCTGATTACATGACTAAAGATTTAGTACTGTAGTTGAAAGGTGTTTTGAATTTCACTAATCAAGTTGCAGTTATTTATATATATATACTAGTATATGGTGTATTTTAAAAGAAGTAAACATTTTTTATACCTTTGTAATCTAGTTTCAAGTTTCTACGTTGGATCAGAAATAATCTGGCAATCTCATTGTTTGATAAATCATTGATGTAAATTAATTTTGATCAATAACCTCACCAAAATAATACAATGACAGCTTATTTTCATGTCACTAGAGTTTGAAATGTATTCATTTTTTTCTAATATTGCTAGTTCAAGTCGGCTTCGGCATGTACAGAGCATATTAAAAGGTGGATCAAGAGCACATGCATCCAGTCCAGATGCCATCTTGTGTGTAACAGGTAAAATAATTCAACACTTCCCAGTTTTCTTTATAGGCGAAAAGTGTTTGTAAGTAAGGTAGTGTTTGTATAATAACGATACTTCAAACAGGTTGATAATAGTTTAGATACGTTTTAACATCGACGTCTTTGAAGTTATGCAGTTAAATTTACGGTACTCATAATCTTAATCGATAGATAAAAAGTTGATTATGAGCTTTAAAAGATTTTATCTTTTGTATGTTATATGATGAAATTTTTTGGATTTGTGTATTTTTCTTGTCATGAAAATTATAATTTTCTGGATATGTTCAATGTAAATGTATGTATTGCAGAAGTTTCCTATTTATTACAGGCATTGACAGTCGCTATAATGATGGTTGTACAGAACTAGTGAACCATCTTCTGTTTGGGTTCTTTGAAAACCGCAGGAAGGAATTAGAAAGGTGTGCAAATAAGACAAATTTAGGTTATTAGCCCCAGGGTCATGGTAGTATTTTTATCTGATTTTATTTATCTGTTTTGATCATATAGAAATGATTTATTTGATACCTTATCAATAGTTAATTGGCAAAATATCATCATACAAATAAATACCTTTGTTAAGTGTTTGGTAAGAGTCTAAATTTGCTAGTTTGATTTTTTGTTTAAAGTGATTTTTACATTGATTCGTAAAAGTGTGAGATTAATATATTCATATGGATTATAGGCAATGTTGAGTATAGTTATGATAATTTTACAACAAAATTGAGACATCTGGTTAATTTAAAATGTGCACTGTCAGTGTTAAACTCTTTTTATTAATTTTTCTCTAGCCTAAGTTAATGTTACAAGCAGTTCAGTGTTCTCTGCAAGAAGTATACTGAGCTATATAGCTGAAGGATATTTACCATAAAATTTCTTTCATAAAAATGGCAATAAAACCCTCTTGATTTAATGCAAGACACTTTTATTATTTGCAGCTCTGGGTTTGCGGAAGAAACAATTGATGGTAAGATTGGTGATTGATATATTCAGGATGCTAATGCAGAGTATTTAGAAAAGTCTTTTTAATTTTTTAAATAAAGCCGTACTTTTAATTTATATTTAAACAATTTTATAACAGATGAAAAAATATGTATATTTTTGCAGACATAATATGTATATTATTAAGTGTATCTGATGAAATCCATACCTTTGTCTTGTCTTTGTCTTATACTTTGATTATCAGATTGCTTATGATGTCTGTCAAACATTCTATTTCTCTTAGATCTTCTTATTCTGGTGAAACATGACAGTGTTCACATTTATTGCAACCCAGTGAACTACCTGTACTTCCTGCCATACATTGCACACTGGAGAAACCTGAAATTGCACTGCCTTCACCCTGAAAAGGTACGTAATACACATGGTGCCATTGTATCTACTTTGTGTTTTACACTTAAATAAACAACTATGTTTCAGATTCCTGAAATGCATTTAACTGGAGAATCTTGGGTCATTCTGTGGTGATAACTCTGGCCCATGTCAAATGTCAGTGAGAATTGAAGCTAGGAATTTGTTCAGTCACTGGTCACTGTTTCCTCTTTTGGCCAGTTAATGGTATCCTGAATGGACAGTAGGTAAAAAAAAGTCACTTTATGGTGGATGCTTATAAATTGTGAATTGTTTTTCAGTATGATGAAGACGAAGAGGAAGCTGAAGAATTCAAGATCCACAGCTTTATTGCTATGGTTAAAGATTGCAAGACAATTGGGATTCCTTACAGTACCTGGGGTGAGAAGAAACTCTATTTTATGACTCTCAAAAATGACAACCTTATACAGCAAGGAAAATGTTAAATTTTATTTTGCTGGCAATTCTGTATTGGCTAGCTGTCATTCACCATTTGATATTGAAGTTTTGCTATGAATTAAGCATACAGGTATACAGATAATTATCTCAATCAATATTCAGTTTTCTCAGCTATTTTTTGTTATATTATAAAAACACTTCCATAGAAGGACTATCATTTCTGACATATTCCTGTTTTGGTTTAAGAAGCAAAAGAGTAATGATTCACTGAATTGTTTTTATCACTGCTTTTATCCCTTTGACACTCTTTATATCATTGATTGTTTCAGCACATCCTCTGCCATTTGACAAATTTTCAATAGAAAAGTGGCCAGTAATACAAGCTTATGCGCTGGAAGGGTTTGGAGGGTAGGTACATGAATGATTAACAAAGATGTGCTTTACCTTGAGCACATGCTAGCAGAAAGTAAATAAACTGATGCACATGAAGTATTTTACAAGTTTAGAATATGTATTATAGACCCAAAGGGGTGATTCTGTGGCCTATGAAAAAGCTATTGTCTTGCAGCTAATGTCAAAAATGATTAAAATTAGCAGATTACTGTAGGAAAATAGTGGTATTATTATTTATTTATTATTATTATCATTATTATTATTATTATTATTAAGTCATGCTGCTGCAATGGTTCTATTGTTTTAGTGGTGGTTTCTTCACAATGAAGCATGAAGTAGTTGATGTAAGCAAGGAGGTTGCAGAGCTCTACAGCATCATGGATCCTGTGTCTGTTGAGATGTTGGCCACTGAGGTAAGTGTTTCATTAGTGTTTCATTCAATTTGAGATAAGTGAGTTTCTTCCTCCTTTTAATGAAAAAGGTTTATAAAAAAATTCCATGGGAAGTTATCATATGTTTTTCCTGCTTTTTAAGCACTCACTCATTTCATCACTTCCTAGGATAAAAAATTTATATTTTAACTTTAAATACTTTGGTGTTCAGTATTCTCTAAACTTAAAAATAAATGTGAATCATGGCATGTACACACAATCTATTATCTTTATGTAGTGAGATATATGTATATGTGTTTACCTGGAAGTTTTATAACTTATTTTACAGCATCTTCCATTATTTGAGCGCCAGTGGAAGACTATGTTGACGACTGTGGATGTGGAGGGGTAAGAATACACACTAAACTACTGTACAAACAGAGGACATGCTAGCCTCACAGCCAATCCTTTATTTTAAATTGACAACTTTAACATTACAAAAGAGATTTGATCTTTTGACACTGAATCTTTATTTCATCTGAAGGAAAATGTGGAATATTTTGAATGGCTCCTCAGTATTCATTTAAGCAAAACATCAGATGCTGATTTGTAATGGAGAGCATACAGTGTTCTTTTGTCAGCCTTACATGAATTGGCCATTTCACCAAAAATGCTGTATTTATTTTAGGAAATCAGGTATTGCAGAGCTCACTGAGAGAAAAGTTTGTGAGGTGAGTAATGTGAGGTTAAATGAAAATTAGTAAAGCTAGATAGATCAGAATGAAGAACATATGTGCTCTATTTTACAATGCTCTGGCATTTTCATTCCTACAATGTCTGAGATTCCAGTAAATTAAAGCTACTTTAAAGTGAATTAATTGTTTCTTACACTGCTTTTTTCTCCTGAGATTTAATTAAGTTCAAGGTCTGTGATCATGCAATTGACAGTTTTGATAATCATTTTGGCAAATGTATCGGCACCTCAGTAGAAATCTTGAGTATGCAATTCTCAGAACAAGTACAGTAAAGGAGCACACGCTCAATATGTCACCTACTAGCGAGTGTCTTCATTTTGGACAGAGCCAACTGTCACATGTTATTCTAAAGTGACACAGTCAACAGTGCAGAACAACAGTCTACAACGTTAACGCTGGCCCTACGCCAAATGCCAGTAAAATTGATACTGGGCCAGTATAACTTATAAATTTATACATTTAATGTGCATTGTTTCTGCGTTTGGAATATAGATTTGTAGACCTTGATGCCTCTAAAGGCCAGTAGAGTTTGGCACTGACTAAAGCAAAAGTATGGGCTTTATCCCAGGTCTTGCATATTTATCAAAAAAAAGATTGGATGCAACTCTTTAGCAACCTTTATGTTTGCCATTCTTTGATATTGCTACCATTATAATTTGTAGCCTCTGAGAAGTTACTTCAGTCATGGCCTTGTTGGAGCAATTAAGACGGACAGTTTGTAAGTGGTTTCTGTTGCGTAATGCATATCTATGCAAACATTCATTATTTATTACATAATGCATGTAAGTGTTTAAGCATGTAAAAGTTTTTTTATTTGACAGACTAAACATCACAGGTTCATTTTTTACATAAAATATTTCCTTTTTTTATCATTTAAATTTTGTTTTTTATTTACGTAGTAGTAAGCGCTGTTACCTAATTATCCATCTCTGGTGACAGCTCTGCTTAAACACAACTTACAAGTATCAACAATCATGTAATTCTACAAGGTAAGTTCAATAATTCGATAAGTATTAATTTACTTCATCCTTACAGTGCCAGATATCCTTTTGTCCTGTTTGGCAAAAATACAAACAAGAAGAGTTTAGAAGCAGTCAGGAAAGGAGCAGTTCAGAGCAGTGATACAATTCCAAGCTCAGAGGCTTCGCACATGGTGAGTGACAACTTTGATGTATCAAACTGTCAAGGTTTATTTGTTGGGGGTGGTTGCAGTTGTTTTTGTTTTTACAAATCATAGAGACATTTCCTGGACACTTATGATTCATTGGTTATTTTCTTTTATTTACATTTATATATCTCTCCATTTTCTAAACTAGGATATACAAAACCTACTTTCGTATGTCCTAGTTCTTAATCATGTGTGCTTGCGGAATGGTCTTGGCACTTTTTCAAATTTTGAGTTGGTTGTATTTAACTGGAGCAATTTGAACAATTTGATCTTGTGTATATCTCAAATCTCAAAACTTTCAAAATGCTCTGGGCCTGTAGTATGCATTCAAATTTACACTAATAGTTGATCAAGACACAGAATAATTTAATAGAGTAATTTGTACTTCTGGTGGAATTTTTTGCTGGACTGTAGCATGCATGTTTTTTATGGAAGACAGTCTTCTTGCTGTTTGTTGTTAATGTGGTTTCAATGTTTAGGTCTGCCAGGCTGTGTCACCTAAAGGTCCACTGAGCTGTGTGAGGACCTACTTCTTCCAGGCCAGCCACAAACCTTATCCAGGTAAGATATTTTTGTGAGTTATGTATTGATATATTGATGGAATATTATTTTTCTCTACCTTATTCAATTTTTTACCTTCAGAATTTTTTATTTCAGCTCTCTGTGGTTTATTATTATTGGCAGGATTACATTAAGTTTAGTTTACTGTGTAAACTATAGGTGGAGCAGCTGTCTGCTTCAGTTAACCTTATCCCTTCGTGTGCTAAGATTGGGATGTTACATACCTTACTCATTTGAAACATATCACCATTGAAGATGGCTTCATTATAAGTTAATAGTTGTTTTGATTTTTTTTACAAACGTAGCATCACTGGTCTAAATCTCCTTTTTCCTTTCTTTCTTAGTAATTATTGTCATCACATGTATAAAATTGTTGAACTTCAATGTTGTTGATTTTACAAAATGTTTGATTGTGCACAAATATTTTTACTCAGTAGAAAGAGAAGATGAGGCCTAACTTTGTTTTGTGAGGCTCAAAGGAGAGACCCACACTGCAGTCTCTAGTAGTTTATTCCCAATACACAGTATTAGAAAATTTTCATTGTATGAATGATGTGCATCTGTGGGAAAAAGTTAAATATACAAGTTATGTTATTCATGATATTGTTTTGTTCCTAAACTAGCCAAGAAACTGTGTTGCATGATTTGGAAAAAAATGTTGGCATCATTTTGTGTTGTTTTGACATTTTTGGTTTGTACAGATTAGCCTCATTTATCTGTTTGGAACACCAGCTGTATATATTTTACTTCTAATTTGGTTTTACTACAAGAGTTCTCTACAAATGTCTTGATACTTCATCTGTTGGCTGTGTGTGTTGATGATAGTTTATTTGCTTTTTGAAAAGGTTTGTCCAAAGACTGACACAAAACATTGTTATGGTAGTTTGATTAAAAACTGAGTTTCCCTCCCCATGAATAGATGGGAGAGTTTGGTTGAGAAGAAATACCATTTGAAAAAAAAGATAGAAATCCAAATACCTTATACATCTTGCGGATATATAACCATTTCTCATACATAACTGATTTTTAACTGAGTATTTAATTTGCACATTATTCCTGTTGTTTACTGAGGTCATTCACTGCACTGGATGATTTAAAAGGTGTCTTGATCTAGCTATTGATCACATGATATTCATGTCTGACTTTCATCTCTGTTGGTTTTTATTGAAATTGATCCCTGCCTAATGGTTGGATAGGGATGCTTATTTGTTCTGCAAAATCAATTTCACTTCAGTCAGGAATTTAGGATAGAAGATGCTCTCTCAGTGTATGTTAAACAGTGGCAAGTCTTCAAAGGGAACAGTTATTAATTAAAGAATCCTTTGTTGGCAGAGCAAATTACATAACACTGTGCCTAGGACTAGAATAACAACTTAATCCATGTTGCATTTTTTTTACGAATTATAGTCTGAATGTCTTCAAATTGCGTGGATATGTGTGTGCTTGGCTCCTGTATCTGTTGGATCTCGTTTATCTTGTTTCCTTATTGGAGTAATCAATATGCTATTCTTTGCTGCCTTATCCTATCTGTAAATTCCATGTCCATTCATCTTAGGGACACGACAATAAATGTTCATACCCCAAGAATAAGGTGATTCAGAACATAAATGTCTTTTTTCTCTTCACTCCAGACAGGCAGTATTTATTACAAATGGATGTTAATTCATTTTTCTTTAAGAACTACCTTACTGAGTATGCAAAAAAGGGACGAGTTCATGATAATTTGATAGACATTAAAATGTTCTAGCTGAAGTTGACAATCTGTGTACTGCTTTATATCCAAAGGAAATCCTCAGCTAGGATTGCCAATCTTATGTGTAACACAATGCCATCTGGAGAATTAAATGATGTGTCATTATCATTTATCTTCTTTACAATGGCTAAGATCAAAGAGAAACACATTAAATGAGTTCCTTTGTTTCAGATGATATGCACAAAAGGGATAGAAATGGGTCAAAATATTTTTACTTGATCTTTCTTGATTGTGAGACATGTTTTTGAAAGTACTGAGTGGCTTTCTTCATATCCCTGTGTTTGCATATATATTATTTGAAGTCTCTTATTTTCAAATGGAAATTGGTCCTTGGAATTCCCCAGATATAATTACCAAATCTAGAGAAGATTCTGATAATCTGTGATGAATTTGAATAACAATTAAAATATATTTAGGAAATCGAATTAAATCTAAAATCTGCCAAATAATCCAAATAAAGGAGGGGGTATTCATGAAAAAAAAAAACTGCAATGTTTCATCTCATCAGCATGTCAAATGTGAAAAAAAAGGTAAAAAAAACTGGAGTTTGTTTATTGGCTATTAATGGCTTTTAGTGCTTCTGACTACAAAAATGTCTCCTGTTTGTGAAAGGTTAATTGTTGTTGCACACATTTAGTTGAGAATCTTAACATTGCCTCTAAGATATTAGAACAGAGAGATAAAGACCAGTTCCATATTTCATTCATGTGCCAGATCTGCTTACATTTCCAAGGCAGAACTTACCATAAGCCTTCAGGTGAATTTCTTTTCAAAAGGTTTTGCTGTCTATGGCAGGCTTAAATGCAGCAGTTAAGAAGCAGGGAGATTAGTTATTTTAAGTGATTGACAAGCACAATTCATTTTCTGTCAGCCGTAACAGTGGAGTTATCAGTGGAATTCCCCTTAGAACCACCTGTTTGGAAGGCATTTTCTTAGTGAGCTGAACTTTTTCATATTTATGAAAAATTTAATCTCAGAATGTGTGTTTATTAATAGAAATATTCAGAACAAAGGTTTCTCTTCTGGCAATTAATTGCCCTTCCTTCATAGCAAGAGTAAATTGTTTGCTTCCTATCCATTGATTGCCTTTCTTCAGAACAAAAATTGATTTGAAGAAATTCTGTCTCCCATTTTATTGAGCTTCTTTCACCAAAAGTCATTTTGCTTGTTTGTTTTCCACCATATTTAAACAAATAGATAGAAGCACAGTTAAGTGCAGTGCTGTTGAAGAAGACCTACTTTTTTCCACAGGAGCAACCTGTAATCTCAATATAATGTGATACGGCAGAACTGAACAGCAGAAAGTACTTGAGAAAATTGACACTTAACTATTGGACTCAAAGTGGCTGTCTGCTGTGAAGAATTTGGCATTTGATAGTTGTGTTGGGTTGTGCTTTAGAAATATATCATTAGGGATAATAACTCTTCGTATGAGATCTATATTTCACAATAAAAACATTGTGAATAGCTCATAGAAATATAATATATTCTGTTTTACGACAAAAACAGCAGTTAAAGCTATTATTCTGATATCTGAGCTTGTCTTCAGATCACGTGACCTCCATTGATGGCTATACTCTGTTATAATCTCTTAAGAGATTTTAACAAAAAACCAAACTTTTTAGAAAAAAAACAGGGACTAACTTTGAATGTAAAAATGGATTCATTAACCATTGGTAAGTATGGGAAAATTGTTGTTTACTCCAGGAAAATTCATTTTTTGGCCGAAACAAAGAGTTATTATCCCTTTAA